AACCTACCCAGCCAAGCTCAGCAGAGATCTGTCACTCTGAAAGACACCAGAGAGAGCCACGGATTTTCTAGCTTTGGTTTGGATGAAGCCCCAAGACTCGCTCATCACATCTCGGGGTATTTAGCATTGACTTTAATTAAAAACCTCCCCATGCCAAACCACATGCAGATGCAAACCGACGCCTTCAGCGTCTGCAACGCATCGCCCGAAAAAGCTGCACTGCTCCACTCACTCTGAGGTAGATGCATGAAGTAGGAACCTGCCTGTAAAATTTCCTCTTGTTCTGCAAAGTCTGTCTCTGCACTGCCCCAATTTACCACAGTGCAAAAAAACCCCCACAGTCAAACAAATATATTCTTGGGAAGGAAGGGGGGCTGGTAGAGTGGTTTCTGAAGGCAGGCCAGAGACTATTCGAAAAGGGGGACACACAGAGTGTTTTAACTGCTGTGATAATTCTGCATAAAGAGATGTTAAGGCTCTAACTCCTTGCTGTAGCATGCCATGTGTCCCTGAATAAAATTACTGCCATGCAGGCTGTTAGCAGAGGAATGCGTAAACAGACAATGTATCCTTGCATCAGTTCCACAAAATGTTGCACAACACAAATGCCTCTCGATGTGTCATTTCCTGCTTGGCCACCGGCCCAGCTCCTGACAGGCAGTCAACAAAAAAAAAAAAAAAAAAAAAAAAAAAAAAAAAAAAAAAAAAAAAAAAAAAAAAAAAAAAAAAAAAAAAAAAAAAAAAAAAAAGAAAAGAAAAGAAAAAAAAAAAGAAGAAAAAAAAAAAGAAAAGAAAAAAAGAAAGAAAAGAGAAGAGGAAAAAAACGAGAGAAAAAGGGAGAAAAATTAAAAAAAGAAAGGCAAACTGAAAGATTTAAAGCTGTTCTACTCCAAAGCACATTCCACTCGCCTCAGACTTATCCCTCCACCCTCTCTGCCTTTGAAAGAAAAGAGGGAGAACTTCCTAAAAACTGTTATGGTTTTAAGTCAAGGAATCTCAAAAATCTCAATCACTTATCTGCGTTTTATAAGCCGGGTCGGCCAAACAGTTAATGTGGGGGCTGAGCAGAACCCCTGGCTGGCTCTGGCTGCCTTCCGCAGCGTGCACAGACAAAAAGGCGATGTGATGTTTGCTCATACCTTTCATCACGTGTGCACCTTGCAAGCTGCAGCAGCAGAGAAACACTCGGGAGCTGAATGAAGCAGAGCAGTTTTCTGCCCTGAAACGCTTCAGCTCAAAGCTCAGAGCTGCTTTTCCATTCACACTGATCAAGAAAGTTGGGGTCGGTGACTTTGAAGCCTACCTTTGATTAGAGACAAACTAAAGTCTTTGGAAGTCAGGCAAAATATAAAAATATATAGACTTCTCCTCCCTCCTTCCTCATGATTCCCCCATGACTGGGTTTGTCCCAAAAGCAGCCAGAAAGGAGGAAGTGTCTCCTATTCTAAAGGTACCACTATGGAAGGGCAAGTCATGATCTCTGTAGTTGTAATGAGGTAAGGCAAAGGCATTAAGGGGGACTTAGGTAAAGATTTGGGTGGTTTCTTTGCTCTTTTTTTTCTCTCCTTTGACTTCCTTTACAGTAATCTCTGGCTATCTGTCGGTCAGTTATGACCTCATGAAAACTTCTCTGGAAAACTTCTTTCAGCCCTCCCAGCTGGAAGGCAGCTCTGCTGGCTAAGATCTGCATATGGCAGAGGTTTTATCCTGGTTATGAGGAGAGAAAAATATCTGCAGGATTTCCTAATGATTCCCAAAGATCTTATACAACCCTGTCTCTAGACTGCATCTCTAAGAATGCAAAGCTTTGTCTCAATCCAGCATAGAAACTGCAACACAGAAGATGTCCCTGGACAGTAATCTAGATAGACTGGAAGAGGTTAGGTAAAATTAAATAAGTCTTTTCTGAGAAAAAAATCATCAGAAGACCTTTTCTCGTATAGAAACTGGCAAGTTTTCCTAACAGAGCAACCTGACATCACTGTCTCTATTAAAATATTTTCAAATAATAACAGAGAGGCAAGGCAGCAAGCTTCTACAAGCAGACGTTTAATACGACTAAATGGCACTTACATTTAAGAACCCGACTTTCTGAAGTGCTGAGCATCCAAAACACCAACTGGAGTCCCTGCATGCCACGACTGTTCAGCACTCCTGAAGTCGGGCTCTAAATGTCTGTGATGTCTGTCATGGCTTTGCTGCTGCTGCTGCTGCTGGGAACCTTGCAGCTTTCGTTTGCTCGAGTCAACTTGCCAGCTGAAGGTCAGAGTGCCTTGCCTATAAACAAGCCTTACAAATTCACGATCTAAAGCATGATGTCATGTCTTAAAATGATAAGCTGGCAACAAAGTAAATGACATTTTGTAAAGATGTGCATAATTTTATGTTTACACTCCTTAGAATGAAGGTTCTAATAAGTCATTGGTTGTGTTCCTTTAAAGGGAAGTTTTATAACTGAGATGAATCACAACTGCAAAAGATCAAAGTTAAAAAACATCAATGATGCCATGGGGTACTTTTTAATCTTGTAATGAATGATGATCATGTGCTCTTATGAAGTTGCTCCAACTGCCAACGCCAGATGTGTATATTAAGAAAAAAGTTGTTTGTGATGTGACAGCTCTGGTTGAGCTGCCAGAGAGAGGAAAACTCGGATAACATGCTTGAAACGTTGAAGTGAAATACAGATCCTGGCAGAGAGGGGCACTATTTGCTGATACATAATTTTTTAAGACAAACACATTTGCTATCAGAGCTGCTCCTTGAATTCCTTATTGCCCCCAACCACCTAATTTTCCTTATGCCACATAAATTCCAGGTACATTCATTGAATGATTGCTGCCAAACTAATGTATCTACACAAGAGCAGGGTCACTAAGGAGGAAGTAAAACTTCTGTGAAACTCCCAGAGCTCACTGGAGCTACTCTTTCCCTACAAATTCAAGTTTAATGATGACCCATTCCAGAGATGTATGAATCCTTTCATAATGACTTGAAAGGATAAAATTTCAGTATTCCACCAAAACATTAAAATATAAATAGACATTCAAGCTCAAAATCTACTTAAAAAAAGGGGAGGGGGAAAAGAAAGAAAAGAAAAAGATGAAGAAGGACACAATAAGACACAATAACTCCATGAAGGCCATAAGAATTCAGTTACTAAGCATTTCTAGGCTCAGCTATTAGACACCAGCAAACAGGTATCCACATAGAGAGGCCTCTTAGGTCTAAAATAAAATATTCCAGAAGAACGAGGGGATCTTGTTAAATTCTATGAACACAGACTCACTTTCAATCCACAGATCACCAAAACATCCCCATGCCAGCAGGATCCCTTTCTCTGCTGCACAGGGTAATCCACACTACTCTCCACACATCACTTTCAAACCTCTCTGCTCTTTCACCACAGTTGTGTCCTCTGCCAGGCGTTTTCCTCTTTTGCAGATGCATCAATACATGGAAGCAGCCTCCAGATGGGAATGACTAAATGATATATAACTTACTGCCTGCTTTTTACTCCATGAATACAATCCCCAGTGTCCTCCAAGTAAGTTACATGGAGCACCAGCTGCAAGTGAAAATGAAAAATGGGAACTGATTCACAGACAGAAGACAATAAAAATCCCCCTGCTGTGACATGAGGACACCTCAGCTATGAGCAGGTAGCAGCACAAGTATGTACCTAATGAAATGTATCCAGAGCTGTTTGCTTTTTCTTAGCTGTTCTTCAAGGTGAAACTCTACAGCCTGGACAGTTCTTAGAGGGAGCATTTCAGTTCCCACCTCAGTGTAAGAGGAGGTGACTCTGCAGCGTGTATTGGCACGAGAAACACTTAACTGCATGAATTCTGTCTACATCTTTCTACTTCTGTCTTTGTGGTATTTTAAACAAAACACCATGAAAGCTCCTTGAAGGTCGTGTTTGTATGTGCAGATCAAAGGCAAAATAATTATTTGAGATGCTTCCATTATAGGGATTCTTTTAATGTGGTTATTCATCAAATAATTCTTAATCTCTAAGTGTAATTTAAATAATGCTTTACCTGGCTAATCCAATCAATTTAGAGTAATTTCTAGTTAGATTAAGAAAAAAACTCCCAAACTGGCTCATCAGTGATACCCATACGATGTGAGACTGGTTACCAGCTACATGTGCTAGACAGAGAGACAGCCAGATAAATCCTGATGGATTAAGCAGACTTCACTGTATCTAAAAATAAGTGCTACCCATAAAACTGCTAGGACATGACAAAACACAATTGTCATAAAAGTACAGCCACTGCAAAATAGATAAATCATGGCAAATAGATTCTTAGTGAGCTTGCATGGCTATGAGATAAACGTGCTGGGTGAAAATCTGCTGGACTGTGTTTTAAAAATATATTTTTCTGTGCATAAATAAGAAACAAAGACCATGCTGTTGATATAATGGTTTTTTTTATCTTTCTTTGGCCCCTGGGGGTCTATGATGAGTCCATAGCTGAAAACCAACTTCAGGTATGATGAGATTAACCAGGTGCATTAATTATCTGATGGCAAAAGAATTTAAGGGCAAACAAAAAGGCACTATATTATATGTTTCCTCTCTAAGCTAGGACTGAACCTGAAAGATCAGGCTCCTGTTTTGTTCTAAACTTTTTCAGCTGGAAGCTTACAGGAGTTCAGGAAATGCAGCACGTTGCAGGATTGTATCTACTGTGTCTAAATCAGATTATATATAAATACACTGGGTTTAGTTCTCATTTACACTGGCAGATAATGTATCAAGACCTTGATGTGAATGAGAATCAGGTTTGGGATTGCCCAAATTCAGCCAAGCACTTAAGTGAATGTTTAATGCAAGTATGTGTGTGGTCCAATAGACTCCAAATTAACCATGCACTCACATATTTTGCTGAGCAAAACCCAGTGTTTCACAAAGATATACATGTTTCATTTACAGGTTTCTGTTAAGCAAAATTAAGCAGGCATAAGAGCAAAAAGAAGAATATAATACTCACTTCTTGGCTCTCTTGGCCCATCCACTGTAACCTTTATAGCTCTGTGGTATGTAGCGACTTGGGGGGGATTTGTCAGGACAGTTATTGTCAAAGTAAAGCTCTTCCCTACAAAGGGAAAAAACAACAAGGAATGAGTGATTACAACATGAAAACAGTCACATGCATGTTCAGTAAAGAATCAGTTTAAAATTATTCCCTGTCGTTACCACAATCGTGAAAATTAAAAACATAACTGACCATAGGAGTTTTCCTCCCCTTCAGTTTTACTCTATGTCAAGAATACGTCCATGTGTTGACAATCTAAATGTTTCTTATTTAATAATGGGTCATCATACAATGACAGAACAAAAGTGATTCACTGCTGAGGACAAGCCAAATTCTTTGCTGCATTGAAAGTGGTGTAAATCCAAAGCAAGTCAGATAATTTAAAAATTTACTCCAGTTTCGCAGCTGTTTGACAGAGAGCAGAATGTGACCACATGTTATTTACTTCACACAGTTTTATCATTTCATTTGTTTGACTTGACTACAATAAGATGAGGAAAGAATATATTTTCCTCCTGGGAGATGTTTTAACAGGGAGTCAGTGTCTCTGTCCTTCATATGCCAGGGCTAATATGACGATATCATTATTATGGAACACGCCTTTTTTCCCTACACATATTCCATCTAAGAAATACCAAGAAAGCCCCCAACTTTCCCGTGAGGGTGAGCAATGTCTGTATGCACGTACTTTGCTATCGTCAGTCCTTATTGTTGTTTCTATTTTGTTGGGTTTTTTTTTGTTTTCTTTACTTTTCAAAGCTTGAATTCAGGCAGAGATTGCACAAGACCATCTACAGCCTTCAGCTGAATGAAAACGTTAAAAAGAAATAAATAAAGGGAGCTGCCTGCATCTGAGCACACATTCTCACAGGCGCTGGCCCCCGTTTGGGAGACTCACTGACAGTTGTAATCTGTTAGATATGCAACGGTTACTCATGTCAGATAGTCAAAACTGAAAACTGTTTCAAGACAGGAAAAGGTGGGCGTACAACAGTGACTCAATAAAACAGTCAGCAAAGCAATCTTTGGCCTTCATGCTCATTTAAGCTGCTACTTTACCAGACACTTAAAGCTTTTTTTTTTTTTTTTCCCTCCTCCCTGGGTGTATTTGTGCATTTTTGCTACTAGGGCTTTTCCTCTCGCTGAACTCTGAAGGCATTCAATCAAGGCACAAATCTTAAACGATATGTAACAGCCCAAACTTAATGCAGTTTTTTTCAGGACTAATATAGAACAGCTTCTATATAAGGCATAATACAGAACAGAGCTTTGTCTGTCAAATCTAGTAATTGGCCTTTCTTTCTGGTCCAAGTCGTATATCCCACAAACCTGCCCGAGACATGCATCATTTATTATCAGGAGTGCAACTTCAAACTGTCTTGGCTATAATTTTCATGAACTAGAATGTGACATGGATTTTTTTTAAAGGAAATACAACTGTCATTTAGAATAAAATGATTTTCCAGGTGAAGCTGTGCTCCAGCTGTGCCCAGCTCTCTGGGAGATCCAGGTTAGAGGGAAGGTCAGGACCCTGGCAAATAGAATTATAGAATGGTTTGGGTTGGAAGGGACCTTAAAAATTATCTTCTCCCAATTCCCCTGCCATGGACAGGGACACCTTCCACTAGAAAAGGTTGCTCCAAGCGCCATCCAAGCCTGCCTTAAACATTTTCAGAGATGGAGCATCCACAGTTCCTCTGGGCAACCTGTGTCAGTGAGTCACAACCATCACTATTTCTTCCTAATATCCAATTTTAACCTGGCCTCTGTCAGTTTAAGCATGCAAAAATCTCAGGATGCTGAATTCTGTCCCACTGGCCTGGCTGAAGGTGACTTTTCCCGTTTTCACTGTAAAAAGGATTTTGTAAATCATCACAGGAGCAGAGTTAGGTGAATTTTGGATGTCCAGTCTTTGTCCAGTCCTGCCCACCTGCTGTGCCAGAGGTGAACTGTGTGTCCTGTCAGCACAGAGTGTGGGCAGCCTTCACACACACAGCAGCAGCCCTGCAGTGCCTCCACACTGCTTGTTCAGGGCTGAGAAGTGTCCGTGCCTTTTATCCCTCTCCAAAGAGGAATTCAGCCCACTGCACAAATATATATAGTTCTCCAGGCTCAGGTTTAAGGCTTCCTTTGGCACCAGCTTACCATGCCAAAAAGTTGTGATTATTAAATTGTATGCTGATGACATTCAGATCACAGTTACCCCTAGATGGTCAGTAGAATATTATTGGCAACAAAGATAAAGGGGCTGTTCCATACACCTTTGAATAAGGAATTTGGCTTTCCATGCTATTGTTCTCTTTAAAAAACAAATCACTATAAATGTCTATTATGACAAAAAAATTAACTCAACAAAATATGCTATTTGTAAGAACCTGCAAAATCATTATGAAGAAATGCACTACAATATTTACTACACTAAATATATCTCAACAGGATACAATGGCTAGAAGAAAAATGCATTCCTTAATAAAAAGAGCTACATTTGGATCTTGACAGTAAGAATTTCTGAACTGTCACCTCTGGGCTAGCCTGAGCTGAAGAGGTAAGCAGCTAATTTGAGAGGGAAATTGGTTTTGTCCCCTAACTGATATTTTACAATCCAAAGTGTGGATGAAGTAACACTGAAGTCCCCTCACACTCCATAAACCACAGAGCCCTTCATTGTGGGGAGTTGCACGGCCTTGCCAGGGCACTCCAGAGCTTTCAAGAAATGATTTACATATTACAGGATTAAGAATGAAATAAATTTTTAAGGTCCCCTGTTCCAGTGATGCTGATGCCTTCCACAGCTATTTCACAGCTATCCCTCCTCAGCTACAAAATCCTTTAATGCACTTTTTATCACCTTTCTTTATTGCCCTTAGTCATTTCAACTATCCACTTTCACAGGCTACAGACTAATTGTAGCTCTCTTTTATTAAATTCCCCAGCCAAGCAGTCATCTGGCACTATTGCTTCAGTGTGTCTAAACTGTGCATTCTTTGTTATTCACACATGTGAGCCGAGCTGACAGAGAGGAGGATGAGATGGACATATGCTGAAGCACAAGGCAAACCCCAGAAAGGAGCTTGAAAGGAGACTCGGCAGCTTGTGTGTGCGTGTTACACATTTTTTCAGTTAGATGCTAATGTGATTAAAGTATCGGGACACAACAAAATTAAGGTTATGATCCTTTGCTTATTGAAGACAGGAATTCTTTCTTCTCTGTGCTGTGGATCGGGCTTGTAAAAGTGAGCTACTGCCTGAAAACCACATACAAACAACTGCTGCATTTGCATCAAACACTCCAGTTACTTACTCTCATAAATCCAAAAAAGGTGTTTAAGAGAAATTATGCAAACAGAAACGTGAAGCTTCTGTCAGGCAAACAAAATGAATATGTATAAAAATCGGGTTTCTCCATTGAGCCATGGGAAGCAAGTAAAAACGTGGGAGAGGAGGTGAAGTGGTAAGTTGATGATTCAGACTTCACAATCAAATTTAGAGATACAGAGATCAAAGCATAAGCTGCTTAGAAAGATGTAAATCTCAAGTCAGGAACAGGTGTGGATTAGTTTCTTGCCATCAAAAAATAGCTTCTTTATTAGTTTATTTTTTCCTGTTCTACTTCAGGATTGTATTTACTGATATTTTTCTATGTAAGGAGCTTTCTCACTTCTGTTTGCAACTACTGATTTCTTTTCCTTCTATTTTAAGCAGAGTTCTAAAAATTCATCATCAATGATAACTCTCCTTCTCTCCTCTCTCACTCTCTCCCCCTCTCTCTGTTCTAAGTCTGGAAGACAAGTCTGGACCAATTTCTCCATCCTGCCTCTGGCAGGAGAATGCAGCATTTCAGATCCTCCACCGAGTCCTGGCTGCTTCAAAGGAAAAGCCCTACTTTCTTCCGTTAAGATCATAAGAAATATAGGGGGAGGGGGTCAGCTCTGTTTGGACATAATTACACTTCATCAAAAGAAGCTTTCTTCATCTTCCATGCGTGAAAAGTCTGCAAGCAGTTAAGTCTGTCTTTTTTCTTCCTTTTTTTTTTTTTAACTTTTTTTTTTTTTTAAATATAAAAATTGCTACTTGGGAAACTAGCCAAAACTCAGAAAGCCAATATAGTAAAACAGTGCACACCCTTTGTTTTTCTTTGAAGTCTCTTAAATAAATATGTTGAGGGTTTGAAAAGTATACTATCACTTTTCCATAGATTCTACCCAGATTGATCAGAGAAAAAGTCTATTCCAAGTCTGCTAGATAAAAATATAAATTAAACTACTGGAACCAAATTTTAGGAGCTCTGTGTTTGTGTCTGTATCTGTATCTACTGAGGCTTTAGGCCGTCTATTTAATTTCCTATGCTTTAATAAAAAGTATATATCATAGGTTTGAAATGAAATCCTCAGATCAGAGGTAGTGCATCACATTTTAGTCCTTTTTCAGCACTACTAAAAGGCTGATACACTACTGAACTTCTACTGTAAAGCAGTAGAGATGGAGCCAGAGAACTTTCAAACCTAATCCATCAGCAGAATAACAAAGCAAACTGATTATTTAAAGAAGACAAATGGAAGTGACAGGCAACACCTCATTCACAGGGGGAATAAACTCCATATTTATTTTGTATTGCTGTTTCAATTTATTCTCTATTACTAATACTTTTTAAGTTCTAAAATGATAAAGAGAATTTTTGGCTAGGTAATTAAAATAAAGAATTGTTACAGTAAGTCATGGTTATGGACTCACTTTCACAAAGCACTTGTAAAAATGTGCCGACTGATTTGGACTATCTGGGCCTTTATCATATATTTATATTTTTTTTGGACAAAAACTCTTTCCTTTTGTAAGATGAACTGCAACTGCTTTCTAAAGAATATCACTGTAAAATTTGCCTTATTGCTAATTTCCCATCACAATTATTCTGCATATTTTGCTTTGCTTTGCCCCATGTAGGGCTAATTTAGAAAAAAATTAATAATTACTTCAAACACATAAAGGAAAAAAATATGTAGGTTGGATCAATGTCTGATACACTACTCTGAAGACTCCTGCAACAAGAACTGCAGGTCCAGCTTCCTTCGAGCTATCCTTTCAATCATTATCTGAAGTTTGAAAGCTGCTGTGCGACCCTTAAAGAGGAATTCTTGCAAATTTGCAATGATTACAAAAGCTTTCTATAAGTGCAGTGCAGTTTTCAGATTATAGGAAACTCCTAAAGAGCTGGAAGACAATGACAGCACTCTACATCTTAAAAAAAAAGGAATGAAAAAAAATTGAAAGCTGCCCTGTCATTTAAAGTAAAGGTTGAATTTAATTCATGCCCAAGCTTACCAGCAATTCATAAAAAGTCAACCAGCTTACTCAAAAGAAAAGTCGGGGTGATTTTCAGAGGTTATCAACAGTTTGGTTTAAAGGGCAGAGAAGCCACTAGCAAGCTTTCTACCAACAGCTGCTATGCCTTGAAAGATTTAAGTCCCTAAAGAATACAACCTATGGAACATGTGATATGCAAAATCCCCCTAATTACAGGTCTTCTACAACAACTTCAGAAGAGGCTCTACTGCTAAAGGGAATTCTCCACCTTTCAGTGCCATGTCCCAAAATACACTCCCCTGACTCTGCACAACCTGGATCACAGATATTCCTTTTTCTTCCACCCTTCCTGTGTGATTCAAACAGGGAAGCAGGTATTCCCTGAATTGTTTTTCAAAACCTCTATCTGATAAAAAGCTACAGAGACTCCTAACTTAGTTTGTGCAAATGCTAAAGTTTGACAATAAAATATGTGTACATCACTACAAAGAAAAAGACTGACAACCTAAAAAACGTGGTCTAGTGGAAGGTGTCCCTGCTTATGGCGAGGGATTGGAATGAGATGAGCTTTAAGGTTCCTTACAAACCAAACTTTTCTGTGATTCTATGAATCTATGAATGGATTTATGGGTTAACCAGTACTTCATTGTGATTAAGTTTGACATCTTGGCGCCGTTTTTCACACCATTACGAACACGTAAAAGGCAGAGGCCTACCTCTTCCACTTCTGCCCACAAATCGTAAGTCATTAAATCTGGCCACCTGGTTCTTCATCACGGCAGAAGCGTTTCGCAGCTCTGCAGAGTAGTTCTCATCGTTTCCAGCCATGACGGTCACCACCGTCCCATCGGGCACTTCTCCTAAGGCCACCACCTGTAAAAACAGGGAGACAATCACGACTGGCGAAGCCACGCGCTGGAGGTGTGTGCTCCCCTCCCCGCTCTGCAGGCTGCCAGGCTGGTGAAGAAGCTCTGTGGTGAGGAGTCTGGTACTCGCTGTGCACAGAACAAAGTGCCACATCAAACACAGAGACGTCGTGTGTTGTCTCCGTTTCTCAGAGCTTCTTCATTGTTGCATTTCTTCAGAAACGCTCAACGTCCTTATGCTGAGTGCACGCTTTAATGCTTTCTGAAGGACAACTTTGTTCTTAGCAAGCAGGGAGCAGCGAGAGACCACGAGGCAAGGCTTGTATCTGTAAATTATGCATGGGAAAGCATTTAAAATGGAAAGCTAGAAATTAGTATTAGCAGCCTCATCACCTGGATTCAGTTCTGTTCTGGTTGCACCCATCACCCTGACCCCTGAGCTCCTCAGACTTCAAGCCAGAGGGATCTGTGCATCCACCCATTCCAGGAGTGGCACTTGGGGCACGAGCAGGCAAAGCTCTACACCCAACACACTTTGCAATGGAGTGCTTTATGGCTGGAATTCAAACTCCTCATGTGCTGCATAAAACAAAGCTGTATTTCCTTGCAGGCATGTAAATTTTCACAGTGCTTGCAAGAGTCGCATGTGGTTAGTGCTGATACCTCCCTCAAATTCCAGGAGGGGTGAACAGAAGATATCAAAGTATTTCATTTCTCCTTACGTTCCAGCTACCTGATAGTCTCCCTTTCATGCTTCAGTGGTTGAGCAGTGCTCCAACATCTGATTAAATAAATGTCATGGAGCAGACAGCTTCTGATTTGAAAACACCAGGAATACCTACAGTGTTAGTGCTCTATGGCTTCTTAAAGCAAAAAAAAAAAAATGAAAAAAAGAAAAAGTTACACAGGAATGCTAAGTTACTAGGAAGAAAATATACACAGAGGGAAAAAATGTCCACAAAAGTATTAATAAAATAGCCTAATTTTCCCCAGCTGGCTAATTCTGATGCTGAAAATAAACTTATAACAAGAAGAGATTCAGAAATATTGCATGGCTGAGCCAGAACTTGAAAAAATATCTTAAGCTACAAAGTGTCTCCCCTTGTAGTTATTACCAATTTGCATGGTCAGAGATGAGTTTTTATATTATTCAGAGTAATTTATTCTGTCTCCTGTAATATATATTACATTTTATCACATGGCCTTCCTGAAATGTCTTTTCCATAAATGATCCTGGCTGAAACTAATAATTGCAGGTTGCAGGTGATATTAATTCAGTGGAAAGAATAAGGAGTTCTGGATATATAGGGAGAGCATTATGTGGTCCAGTGAACTGTACAATGTTTCTCTAAAACAATAAAGAGGAATTATAATAATATAGAAATAGGCCATATTACTGAAGACTATAGCTTATTTTATTTAAAAGAAATATTGAAGAGAAAGAAGCAAGTGAAGCTTAAACAATGTTTGAAAAGAATTTACCTGCTTTTCTATTTTTGCATAAAACATCAGTTAATACCGCTCAAAATTAAAAGCTAAAATTTGCCACAAACTATTATGAGGTCTTCATGTATCAAACAAAGATTTTACTTTAAAGTCCTATGAAAGTCCCTGAACAAAGGAACCACCATCGTGGCTAAGATCTGAGGTCCCAATAACTCTCTCCCTTGGGTCTGGCAGCAACCAGGTCTAACAGCTTCAAAGCCAGGTGTAAGGAATAACAAATAATAATCAAATAACAAATAATAATCTGGTGAACAGATTACAGAGCTGACGCTAACCATTAACAAATGGATACTGGCTTAAACTGTGAAGCATGGGGCTTGAGACTACTTATAAACCACTCCCTTCCCAATCTGCAACAGACTGCGTTATCTCTGGACAGTCTTGTCATGCCCATCAGCATCCCAGGGAGTTGCACCCTACGCCTTTTATACCTCACGAAACAACAACAAAAAATCGCATTAACTCCAGAAATGCAAAGCACCTGAGAGTGCAGCAGGAAGCACAAGGCTGCCTGGGAAGAGGGAGCGAGGTGCCTGAAGCCTCAGCTCACCTCTTTCTCCCCAGGCACCCGCAGAGCGTGGACAGGCAGCGCCTTCATAGCCCCATCTCAGTCCCAAACCCAGGTACAGCTTATAACACCTGGCAGGAGGGAGCAAAATCCCTTAAAAGGCTCCCCTCTGTCCTCAGTTGCTTTTCAGAGCTTTCCTTCCTGCCCTTTCCACTCGGTGTCAGTTCAATTTGTCAGCTTAGCCATCAGCCCAGAGCTGCATGTGCCGCTGCTGTCGCCGAGCAATCGCAAGTAATCAAGAGCTGCATCGTTACTGAGAAGCCTTGGATGCAGTATCACTGCTCATCTCCTTCAGAGAGGACCAAAGGATAGGACAAACTGAAGTCAGAGATGAAAATAAAAACTTTGGCTCATAAAATAAAGCCCTATAACATATAAGCTCCCCTGCCAAGCAACAGGAGTAAAAGGCGCTTTTTTTCCTGACTTTGATACTTTCTTACCACAGACCAGCCTAAGACTGTTGCATAGGTGTTGCACAGGTACGTAGAAGCGGTGGTAGAAAAAAACTTTGCAAAACAAGTCTGAAACCTGGAGAAGTACCCGTCATTTTGAGAGTTTTCAAAAGTAATTGTACTGAACGACTGAAAATCTGAACGACTGTTGGCATAAACCCTGATTTGGCAATATTACGCCATGTATCAATACAAAATTAATTACATTTTCTTAGAAAGAGGATTGTAAATGTGCTGTGAAATGAGTAAGGATTGTGTTAAAAATTAAAGACTAGAAGTAGCCAGAGTGCACATTCCTTACCTATCCTTTAACACTCAATATCTCTACTATTTAAAAATCTTTGTTTCCCATATTAAGCTCCCTAGATATTTTGATGATTAAAAGTAGATTTTGCTCTTTTTTTTTTCTTTTCCTTTCATCTAGAGCTCAAAAAAGTACATGAATCTCCAAAATAAAACCAAAGCAATTCTTATGAGTTGAAAATAACTATGTGTTTTTTGCATAACACAATTCTGGTTAGGCAACCTGTTTGCCCAGTTTCGGTCCAGTGGGATTTGAACTGGCCAAAGTATGTAGCCTGAAGACGGAAGTTATAAGCACAAAGCAAAACTCCTATACAACACCAGGTACTCAGACTTTCTGCAGAGTAAAATGCTTGTCTGAAAAAAAAAAAAGAGGCCAACACTAGTGTACATGCTAACTAGTTCCTCTAAAACATTGATATTTGCCACTTCAAAAGCTTTCTTGTGAAACACTGAATTCAAACAGCCTCTGAATGTAAAATCTTCTGTATTGAGAATGCTTTTCTCAGACATTGCCAAAAGAGCATCTGATACTATTAAAAACATTTCAGTGTCCTGTAACTTAAAACAGAATAACTGATTCCTGCTACTTTTCGTTTCAAATCTACATCTGGGCTGAAAATTTATACAGCAGGTTTCAGCTTGAAGCTATTTAAAACAGCTGAGTTATAAACTCCGAAAATTGGGGTTTGGAGGGAAATGCTGACAGACCCTGAACTACTGTGGTGCTACTGGGGAGATGTTTTAGACTCCACATCCCATTTTCCCCCCGCCTTTGCGTCCACTAAGACTCTCTGCTGCTATTAGCATCATACAGAAGTCACTTCTAACCTCTAACGTGGCAATCTGGGTCTTTATGACTTGCACTAAAAACTCCCACAGAGAGACCAAGTTCTGATGACTCGACTCAAATAAAGTATTGCTGGCTACTGAGATTAAGAAGTGAATATGATTTGGGCCTGGATGAACAATATCCATTTGTTTTATGCTGGAATATTAAAAGCCAGAGCTGTATTAACAAGTACTCATCAAATACTCTTCCCCACAGAACCAGTCTGCATTAACAATCTTCTTAGTGAGCACACGACAGGGACTCCCTCCCCAGTGTGTGCAAATATTAATACTTAAAATTCAAACCCAATGCTAAGCCAACACTATTTCAAAAAATTATAATCAAACCCAGCACTGTTTATAACATACTTCCTCTCCTGCATATGATTTATATCTGTTTTTTTAAATTAAAACAGTGCTATATCCAGCGTACGTTTTTACTTGAGATCGCTGGGAGAGAATTATGACACACTTAACACACCACTCAAAACATTATCATCAACATATTATTTATTGCCAATAAAACTTCACAAAGTGTGTTGTCTGTGAGCTATTTCATTTTCAAGTTATTGTTTAGCTGAGGTTTCTATAGCTCAAATCTGTCTCTTTTTTCCCTTTCAGAGCTGATTCCCATTCTGTTGTAACACAATCAAGTGCTTCACTGTATGATACATGCAGCTGCTTTGGTCTAAAACTAGTGGGCAGCTGCATGCAAGTTGCATTTAAAAAATGAAATAGATTTTTTTCTTAATGGTCAAAAGTATTTCAAGTGAGTTTCAAATTAACTTACAGGTAAATAAGGGCATATATAATTCTGGCATATTTTAAAAAGTGCATATTGCATATGAAAACACAGCTGCACCCACAGCAGCCGGGTGCAAGGGGCAATGTGTGCCTCTGATATGTCTGAAAATCAGTCAGATCTGCACCTCCATGTCAGCAATCAAACACAAGACCCACATGTAAGACACATATAAATACATACATATGAACACAAAAAGATTGGGGAACAGTCTAATCCTTTGTCTACCTTTTTATCACATGTAAGCATTCTTATTGTAATAATATTCAAAATACTTTAATATTTAGTTTAGATCTTTCCCTTATTCTAATGAGATGCGACCGCATCCTTTGAAT